AAAGGACCCAGTTTTATCCCAAGGCTATTGGTGCTTCTGCAAAGTACCACCATCTCAGAGTAGTAACAGTTTACACCCACAGAAAACTGTAGCACAAGGTGCAGGCAATGTCCAGGGTATTGAAATAAAACCTCTTCACGTGGACATGGAATTAGTTTCTGCCCAGGGTGCTCCTGGCATCAGGAAAGAAGGGTGGCTGTGTCCCACCAGGGAGGACAGTTGGACAGAGGGTGTGGATTGAGCCATTTGGGAATCACAGAATCATGGAATGGTTTGGGTTAAAAGAAACCTTCTCTTGTTCCACCCCCTGCCATGGGCAGGGACACTTTCCACTAGATCAGGTTGCTCCAAGCCCCGTCCAACCTGGCCTTGGACACTTCCAGGGATGGGGCAGCCACAACTTCTCTGGGCAACCTGTGCCAGGGCCCCCCCACCCTCACAGGAAGGGATTCCTTCCTAATATCTGATCTAAACCTGCCCTCCTTCAGCTTAGACTATCCTTCCTTGTCCTATCACTCCACGTCCTTGTGAAAAGTCCCTCTGGGGAAGGAAAAGTGAATATTAACAACACACATTTTCCTAAGATAACATACCACTCCTTCCTCCTGTGTTCTCCTTCTCTGTTCTACAGGAGGGTGTGGGAATCTCCCCAGGCTGGAATGAAGGTCAGTCCAGCAGGGACTGTTGGGAGAAGCTTTGGATGCGCATCTCAATCCCATGTGGTGGATGATTTGGATTAGTGATTTGTCACAACCCCCTCAGCTCATCGGGTTTCAATGATGGGAAAGACACACAGATGTGAAATCTCACTTTGATTGGCTTTGATGTGAGGTTGGATTGACAACAACCACATGCAGCTGGGGGTTGGACTCGGGTCCAGACACAGCTGAGAACTGTGATGCCAGAGTTGTGACCCAACACAGTAAATTCAGTGGTGGGGACAGAAATGGACAGGAAGATTTTCAGGCCAGGAATTCCAAACTTCAACCCAAATGCTGGACTCCTCAGGGAGCCCATCAGTGAACTCCATCTCCATTTGCCGACCATCCCTCAAACCAAATTTACTCAATGTTTGGCCCAAAAAGAAATGCAGGAGAAGCCCATAGATGCTGCAGCAAAGCTGTTTTCTGTCCTCTCCCCTCTCAGTTGGGGGAATTTCAAGGATCTGAGGAGACCTTGTACCTTTCCCTTCAGAGGAAAGATGCCAGTGCTTCCAAAAGGCCCAGGATGGGCTGGATGGTTCCTTCTCCTCCCGTCAGGGTGGTGCCCATTTGGGAAGTTGCCATTGTGCCCAGTCACTGCCATAGGAGGAGGCAGCTTTGAACAGCTCTGGAACGCTGCAGGGATCGTTGTGAGAATGCTCTCCCAGCTCCCTCCTTCCATCCTGACACAAGGAATTTATTTATTACCTTCCCCCCTCACCTTCCTTCTGTCTGATGCTGGGGAAGGCAGGAAGGGGACAGGACTGAGGGGGCTGGATGCCAACAACCACCCCAGAAAGGAGGAACTTGTTCACAATTTTGGCATGTTCAACACACAAAAATCCAGCTGACCCAGTGTTTCCCAACTTTCCCTTCCACAATTTACCTTCCAGGGTGGCAGGAAAAGGTAGCAGGATGCTGTGAGGGCCAGTGGGCAGAGCAGGGCTACAAGAGGTGTTTTGGAAAAGATTTCTGTTCCTCTTCTCTGCATCTAATTGCATTTAATTGTATTTACACTGCGGCAGAGATAGAAGCAGCTGCTCATGACCCAAAGCCCTTGTTTGTTAGAGAAGTCTTCACACTGGACACAGGATGGTTTTCCCTCGGTAATGCAGGTGACTCTCTCACACTTCTCCTAGAGGACAAGGGAGAGAAGTTGGGTTAGAAAAGGGAAATTACCAGTTTGGGGAAATGGAACCAAAGGGCTGCACTTGTGACTTGCAGAGGATCAGAGCCAATGTCTCCATTTCTCCCGTTTTTTGGCTGGAAGGGGTTTCCAGTCCACCCTCTCACTGGGCAGGGCTGTGGCCATGGCTCTCCCCAGCTGAGTTTCACATTTCAGAACACCCAGTTTCCCGTTCTGGGTTAACCTCCCTGGCAGGGAGGGACATGAAGAGAGGGTTTAGCTCCCATGGAGACACCATGAGCTTCCAGCAAGTTTGCTCCTTGCAGTACGGGAATATGAGCTCAGGGTCATTTTCATTCGTCTTTTTTTTTTACACCAATTACACCCTGCAGGGCGACTCCAGCAGTTGTTACACATTAACCTCAAGGAAGGCAGGAATCAGCCCACACAGCCCCATCCCTGGGGATCTGGGTGCAGCTTGGTCTCCCCATCTCCAGCGGTGTTTTCCCAGCCCTGTGCACTTGGAGTGCAGGGAATGGAGCAGGACACGAGGGGGAAAATGACAAACAAAGCAGAACAGCACATGTGACACCCTGTGAATTAATCAGAGAGCAGGGCCAGCATGCTGGGCAAACAAGACCTGGAATTGCGTCTCTCCCCTTGATTAAATTAGAAAGCTCTCCAACTAATACAGAGCCCCTCGGTAAACGAGGGAACGGGGGCTAATGAAGTGGATAAGAAGCAACTTGACAAGTGACAGGGCTGGTGAGGGAGAGGAAGGGAGGGAGGAAGGCAGGGGCAGAGATTTAAACAGGAGAAAAGGGAGGGGGAAAGCATAGAGAGTCAGAAATGGGAAGAAGAGAGGGATGAAGGGAGAAAAGGGAAAGGCAATCTCCTTCCAAAACGTTTTCCTAAAAAGGCAACACACAAAGAAAGTGTCTGTTTTCTGCTAAAAGAGATGAGAACTCTGAAGAGTCAGAAGACAGCAGCAAAGGCACTGGGTTATGGCAGGTTTTCTTGCTGGGTAGAGGTTCAGGAAACCTCGAGGCTGTGAAACATCAGACTCCAAAGCAGCTCCACCAGCTCTGGACTGACTAAGCTGTGGTGGGGTCAAAACTTGCACCGACAGACTGCACTTGGCTGAGGTATTGATTCAAACTGAGGAACTGCAGTTCTGTAACAGGCAGGGGGTTTGCTCCCTCTGCACATCCCTGTCCTGTGTGTGCAGACCCTCCCCACCCCCTCATTAAGTCCTATGCCTAATTTGGTTCATCTGAATGAAAATCATGGGACCAGCTCTGGGATAAACCAGGAATGACCTGACTGAAGGCACTGGAGAAGTATCAGTGGGCAGGGATGCAAGAGCAGAACCCAACAGTCTTCTTCTCCCATTTTTGAAGAATTTACTCTTCACATCCAGACATGAAGAACAATGTAAACATTTCTGAAAGCCTTGTCCTTCTCTGCCACTCTCCAGAGTCTAGACCAAGCCTTACACAACAAATACCACCCAAATATGAGGAAACCTTGCAGAAAACCCCCAACTACCTGAGTACAGCTGGGAGTGAGAAAAGGAGCAGCCAAGCTGGGGAAAGAAGAAGTGGTCTGGAATTACCTTGGGGTGGGTCTCTCCACGTGCTGGATGTATGGAAGAGGCCTTTGGAAGGGCTGAGGGGCTTTCTATAGGTAATGTGGCTCTAGAGAGGGTGCTGAAGTAATACAGCACAGCCAGCACTAAACAGCTGGTTTCTTTGCCCAGAGGCTGGGAGAGGGATTTAGGGTAAGATAAGATAAAGGAGTTTCTTTCCAAACACCTTGTGGAGCATCAGAAGAGCCCATGAAGAGGCGAAGTCCACCGAGGGCTGTGAAATGGTGTGGAACTGTGTCCACTCACATTTATTCCTGTCTCCCGTCCCTTCTCACTCCCACACCCTCCACCTCTTCCTGCTGGGTGGTTAAAAAGAGTTTAGTGTTGCTTTCCTCGTTCTTTTTCTCCTTTCTTTCTCTCTCCAGTGCATGGCAAAGCAGGAGGCAGAGCAAGTTGCTTCCCATCCTCCCCACTTGGGCTGTGGCAGCGAATTTCCAATTTTCAGCTAATATCAAGGTCGTGACAGAAAGCGCAGAGGCCCTGGTAGGACATAATGGCAGAAGAATTGTAAATGTTGCTTTTAGTGAATGCAGAATAAGGAAGGGCCAAGGAGGGGAAATTTTCCATTCAGTGCTGGCCTCTGAGCAGTGAATACATTTTCTCCTCCACTGTGTCGCATTAGATTTCCAGAGGTGCTCGGCACCAGGTACATGTCATTAGTAACAGTTTGTGTGGTAATGAATCCTTTTATTTCTCTTCCACACAGCTCATGAATACATAAAGAGCCTGGTTTTAGTCGCATCTGGTTCAGCTGCAGGAGCCTCACGTAACTTAATTTCGTATCCTCTTCAGCCGGGTGTCAAACCCAGCTGGGGCCAGCCTTAAAGGCACAGGGAGGTTTGGTAAAAACCTGACTCAAATCTCAGCTCCAGGGTGAGGATTTGCCTGGGGATGCCCTGGAGCTTTCTCCGTTCCCTCATGGTCTTCCTAGAGGTGGAACATCCTTTGCTTTGACAGGGATGTGCTGGAGTTTGGCCGAAAGTTTGGGACAATGTGGGTGCACCTTGTGTAACATGCAGTGGGGTCAGTGTGTGTGCCTCTTGTAAGCGAAAAAACTCCTCCTTCCCTGCCCTGGGAGGGTGGAGCTGGTGCCCAGGTAGTTGTGCCTTTCCTGAAGCTGAAACCTTGCAGGCAGGAATTACAGCTGCAGGAGCACTCTCGTTGTGCAGGGCAGGGACTGCTGCCAGCACCCTGCCGGTGGAATTGCTGTGCTTCCCTTCTGAAGCTTTATCTTTCTTAATTACAATTAATTACTCAGAAATTTTAATAATAATCAGCATCAGGGGCAGTCTTCGCGAACAAAGATTTGGGAAAGGTCTTTACCCTTCGAGCCTGTGCAGTGGATTTTTTAGGTGAGACACAGTGTGCGCTGAACTGAGCCCACCCTTTAATCCTAAGGTTCATCTGCCAGGGCCAAGTGAGCTCGGACAGTGGCAGTGAGGTCTTCAGGACGTAGGTTTGTTTAGAGTGACCTTCTCTTAGATGGATGGCCTTACAGGGCTGACGACCTCCATCTGCCCGGAAGTTCCCTGACCGGGAATCGAACCCAGGCCATGGCGGTGAGAGCGCCATATCCTAACCACTAGACCACCAGGGAACCCATCACCACCACCATCATCATCATCATCATCATCATCAAACTCCCATGCTTTTGGCTCTCTGCAACCACCCTCCAGGGTCACACTGCAAAACATGCAGGAGCTGCCGAGTGGTGACAAGAAGTAGCTGCGAACGAGGGAGGATTCCCCAGACAAGCGAAAGCACCTGTTGAATGGGGTTGGAGTAAAAATTAAACCCAAACCTCCTCAAGCACCCAGTAAAACCCAGCCAAGACCAGTGTCAGCTGCAGAAATCCTCGCTGACCTCTCTTCAGTCGCGCCCAGACCACAGCTGGAGCTCGGGCCCAGCCCTGCAGAGCTGTTCCTCTAACAGGGGCAGCCTGGGTCGGCCCTAGTTAGGGTGCCGGGAAGATACAGGACATTCAGATGGCCAGTAGAGTGTGATGGAGTCACCAGAGAGCTGGAGCCACGGGTTTAAACTGAAGGTGTGAGAAGGACAGGGCTCTACACAGCATCAGGCTGTTTCCAGACTAGACATAATCCTGCAGAACAAACCCTGAGTGAACAAGTTCGTGATTCACATGAAAAAATGCCCTGAAACCCCTCGTTCCCTGGTGTTATCCAACCTCAGGGGCTCAGCAGGGAGAGCCTGGGTCTCTCTCAGCAGTGTAAATCCCCCTGGGAAGCTGTCAGTCGGTCACAGGACCCCAGAGCTACTCCATGCTGACCCCTGAGGCTCTTTGGGAAGTGGCTTTGGAGCTGAGACCGAGCTCTGCTGAGGTGTCACCCCTCTGACAAGGAAGGGCTGAGCTGGAGATTGGGTGGGTGGGAATCTGGCTGGGTGGTGGCAGTTCTGGGAGCTGACAGTGCTCCCTTCCAACCCCGGGGCTGGATGTGGACATTTTCCCACATCCCAATCCCAGTGTGACTCTGCACCTTGGAACAGCTGCCCCTCCATGGATCGAGGCACATTTGGCTTTATTTGGGTTAAAAGGTGAGTGAAAACAGGTATGTGAGGCAGTATTCTTGGTACAGATTAGGAGCTGGAGCCCAGGACTGGAGAGACCTGTTGGCTGCAGTTTTGGTTAAAAGAACAAAATTCTGGTGAAATAAAACCCCCCAAATAAAACCCCAAATAAAACCCCAACCCCAAGCCCTAAGCCAGCCCATTCCCCATGTGAGGGCTGCCCTTGGGGTCAGAGCTGTTGAGGGGATGCTGGTTTATGTGCTGGAGCTTTCCTAGAACTCACTCCCTAATTTCCTTCACAAATAAAAGCAGGAAGGGTGGACCCAGCCTACCCCAATCCCACCATCCTCTTCTCTGAGGAGTCATTCCCCTGACTCCTCCTGTCCTCTCCTCCTTTAGGAGATAAAGAGGAATGAAGAAAAAACAATTTGGTTGGTTTTTTTTTTTTCCTTTATTGAGTGTAGAACAAGCAGGTCCAACTCCTGTTAAAATGCTTTTTCTTACCAAATTATTAATAATTTCTCATCTGAAATTATTGATTACATTAAAAACAACGCTCAACACTTTTCTGCTGATGGAGTTTTCTAAGCTAAAATCAATATGTTTGTTATTAAGTACCAAAAATTGCTCGATTTTCTAGATGACGATGGGAAAAATTAAAATACTATCTTGATAAAAAATGAAATTATTTATAGTGGGGGCTGATTCCAGTATCTTTTGCTCGGTTGCTCAATTAACTGGGCTGCAAGAACTCACATTAAATAATTCTCAGCACCTTATTCATGAGCATCCAAACACTGGGCACAGTCACCTCTGCCATCTGCAACAATTTTTTGCCCCAAACTCATCTGAATTTCCCAACTAAGATGGAATTAATTCCTCCCTACCCCTTCCCGATATGCTGCTGTGCCCAACACAGATCCCAGAGTGGGAATTTTGAGTAAGGAACTGTGGAGCTTGGGATCTGGGGAGTAAAATCTCGAAAATGTGAATGTCAGCAAACCTTGAAGGAACAAAGGCTGGAATGATCCCAACAAGGTTCCCATTCCCTACTGGGACACTGCAGGCAGAGACACAGTGTTGGTGAGAGAGGGATGGAAATCTCAAGGAAAAGTGATTCCATTGCACCTGAAATGAGGATTTTGTGTTGCAGAGGAGTTCAGGGAAAAAACTGCTTGTCCCAGAGCTTGGATTTCTGTATGTGGATGGAACTCACTGGGGAGGAAGCAAGACAGACTGCACGAGGTTTCTCCAGAAGAGTTTTCACAGCACAAACATACAAAAAGCTGCAAATATTTTACCTTAAAGGGCTGGTCATGCCCACCACGAGGTCAGGAGTCAACACTTTTCACCTCTCACCAAGTCTCTGTGTAAGTGGTTTTAAACTGAACCAAGTTTTAAACTCAGACCACACAACAAAGCAAGAGGACACCTCCCAGCCCCAGTCCCCAGATTGTGACCCTGAGAACCACAGTGCATCAGGAAAAAGTGCAGAAAATCATGGAATGGTTGGAGTTGGAAGTGACCTGAAAGGTCTTCCAGTCCCACCCCTCCATGGGCAGGGACACCTTCCACTAGCCCAGGCTGCTGCAAGCCCTGTCCAACCTGGCCTTGGACACTTCCAGGCAGCCACAGCCTCTCTGGGCACCCTGTGCCAGGGTCTCCCCGCTCTCACAGTGGAATTCCTTCCCAATATCCCATCTAAACCTGCTCCATCGATCCTGTCCAGCAGCAAAAGCTGCACCACCTAGTTTTAAGGCACTTCTGATAAGTTCTACAAACCTGGTGGTGGTTCCTCTAGCATAGGATGAATGTTTTACTCCTCAGTTGAGGAACACCAGTGCCAAACCTTTGGACTTGACCTGACACCTTCCAGGTGCACAGCACAGGGATTCCCATCAGGAGACTCCAAAGGCACTTCCTAAGGGCTCTGCTTCCCCTCCCACATTTACCACCTAAAGATACTGAGCTGCATTCCAGGAAACAATTTAACCACAGGAAAATATTCCCCTGAGCTGTTTTGAGGAAGAATTCAAACAAGGCAAGTCTGATACAGATCTGCCAAAGCACAGCATCACCCATTTTCAGGCACAGTTCATTCTCCCAAACCACCTTTGATTTAAAGACCCCCTAAATAGGAGGGTGGGTTCAGCAGGAGGACAAAGGGATAGACCAGTTCCTCCTTGGCACCCACCCATGTCCATCCTGGGAGGCTGCAATCCCACAGGATCTCAACAAATCAGGATGGATTGCGGAAATCTCCACAGAGGGTTCTCACATAGGATATTTTACCCCAAATAGTCCTCCTATAATTTCCAAGTCACGTGTCCATCTCCTGTTCTGGTGCCCACAGTGGGTTTTCTGGAATAGTGGGGGCGGGGGGGGGAAAGGGACCCACCCTCCTGTTCTCCCCCAAATTCCACCCACTCCTGCAAACTTTCCCGTTGTTATTCCCATTATTCTCCCTCCCCCTCCACGAGACGTGGGTCACAATTCCTCTGATTCCCCTTGTATCTCCAGCTATAAAAAGAGAACATAATGGAAAAATAATTAAAAAATAAAAAGGAGGAATAAAACCCAGCATTTTAAGGGAGAAAGGGGAGGGGGCCTGGGAGATCTGCAGAGCTGGGAGATAACCAGCAGATGTGATTTTTGCAGATAAGCGTAGTAATTTAGATAAATCTGGAGGCTTTAGAGCCTTTCGCTTGCGTTCCTTTTCTTTCTGTCTGATTTTTTTTTCAATTTTATCTCACAAGTCAAGAGGAGGGGGAGCAAGAGGGAGGGAGGGGGGGAAGCTTAATCTTTGGGTAGTTTTTCTTTTCTTTTTAAATGTGTTTTTCCCCAGAAGGTGGGATAATAGGAGCTGCTCTCCCCCCACGCTCACACACACACACACACACACACACACACATACACACACACACACAGAAGCCCGGGCTATGTTTTTTAAAAGCAGCGGACAAAAATCAAAATATTTGAAAATGTATTTCATGGTAATTATGTCATATTTCATGGACTGATGCCACTACTGAAAGAGAGCCTGAATGCCTTAATTTGTATAGAAATTGTAATCATTTGTTCATTTCAAGGTGAAAATTGCATTTTTTAATTTAAATTGTATCCTGCATGATAGTCTATTATCTAGTAAAATTGTCTCCATGTCTGAATGCCTTATATGCAGCTGCAATGCTTGTTACAAATCCAGTTATATTCATAAAAGCTTTGTCGATGTCTCGGGAAATGTGAACAGTTTCTTCTGGGTTTCTTCTCTCTCTTTTTTTCTTTTTTTCCCCTCTTCCCTCCCATTTCCATCCTCCCTCCCCTTCCCCCTTGGTCTTTTTTTTTTTTCCTAGTTGAAATAAACCCACATCTCCCATTAATAATAATTAGCCTGGGTATGTACAAAAGACAATTCTGTATGGAATAGGGTGAGGGACATGCAGAAAGCACCCAGGATTCCTGACTCTTTCTTTATTTCGGAGTGAGCCACCTCCAGGTTGTGGATTGCTGGGGAAAAGGGATCAGAGGAGGGAAAGGAGAAGGGAAAGAAAAGTGTAAAATGAGGGGAGAGGGTTTGTGTGGCAGCTCCTGGAAATAAAATCACATTCCCAAAGGATAGTGAGGGCAGAGGAAGACTCACAGTGATATTAAAAGAGAGATTTAAGTCACTTTCTGGTGTTTTGGAGATCTGGGAGTGTGGTAAAGAGGGAGGAAGGAGATAGAAGGTCACTTTGCTTCCATAATATTTTATATCAAGAGATGTCCCGTCCTACACCTCTGTCTCTCCTGGCAGCTGTGTTGATCCCCAGTGTGATTTAGGCATGCCCGGGATCTGCTGGGAGGGAAATAGAGGCTGAGAAGTTAATTGTAGTGTCCAGGATCCCTCTAGCACCTGGAAAAGGACAGATCTCCCAATATCCTGATTTCTGCCCTGCTCACTGCACATTCCAGCTCCTTTGCTGTTTAGCAAGAGGTCTTTGGGTCGAGGGAATCACAGACACCCTAAACTGTCTCTGCCACACCCACACAGCCCTTCCTGAGGAGAAATCCCTGTCCCCAAGCCTGTTTTTC